TGTTGTCTCACCTAGCTACACTTTCTATACAGCAGTATGTGGACACCTCTTCAAATTAGTGGATTCTATTTCAGCCACATCCGTTGCTGACAGGTGTATAAAAATCGAGCACACCGCCATGCAATCTCCATAGACAAACATTGGCAGTAGAACGGCCCTTACTGAAGAGCTCAGTGACTTTCAACGTGGCACCGTCATAGGATGCCACCTTTCCAACAAGTCAGTTTGTCACATTTCTGCCCTGCTAGAGCTGCCCCGGTCAACTGTAAGTGCTGTTATTGTGAAGTGGAAACGTCTAGGAGCAACAACGGTTCAACCGCGAAGTGGTCGGCCACACAAGCTCACAGAACGGGACCGCCAAGTGCTGAAGCACGTAGCGCGTAAAAATCGTCTGTCCTCGGTTGCAATACTCACTACCGAGATCCAAACTGCCTCTGGAAGCAACTTCAGCACAATAACTGTTCGTCTGGAGCTTCGTGAAATGGGTTTCCATGGCTGAGCAGCCGCACACAAGCCTAAGATCATCATGCGCAATGCCAAGCATCGGCTGGAGTGGTGTAAAGCTCACAGCCATTGGACTCTGGAGCAGTGGAAATGCGTTCTCTGGAGTGATGAATCATGCTTCACCATCTGGCAGTCCGACGGACAAATCTGGATTTGGCGGATGCCGGGAGAATGCTACCTGCCACAATGCAGAGTGCCAACTGTAATGTTCGGTGGAGGAGGAATAGTAGTCTGGGGCTGTTTTTCATGGTTCGGGCTCGGCCCCTTAGTTCCAGTGAAGGGAAATCTTAACGCTACAGCATTCAATGACATTCTAGATGATTCTGTGCTTCCAACTTTGTGGCAACAGTTTGGGGAAGGCCCTTTCCTGTTTCAGCATGACAATGCCCCTGTGCACAAAGCGAGGTCCATACAGAAATGGTTTGTCGAGATCGGTGTGGAAGAACTTGACTGGCCTGCAAAGAGCCCTGACCTGAACCTCATCTAGCACCTTTGGGATTAATTGGAACGCCGACTGCGAGCCAGGCCTAATCGCCCATCATCAGGGCCCGACCTCACCAATGCTCTTGTGGCTGAATGGAAGCAAGTCCCCACAGCAATTTTCCAACATCTAGTGGAAAGCATTCCCAGAAGAGTGGAGGCTGTTATAGCAGCAAAGGGGAGACCAAGTCCATAATAATGCCCATGATTTTGGAATGAGGTCTTCGACGAGCAGGTGTCCACATACTTTTGATCATGTAGTGTATCTTATGATGAATGCACTAATGTAAGTCACTCTAGATAACAGCGTCTGCTAAATAACTAAAATGTTAATTTAAAACCTCACTAGAAGTTTAGTTTCGTTTATTAATTCGACCATTTAAAAAAAAACAAGCACACATAAAACTTCAAAAAGCCATACATTCACATGTGTAAAATCACATCTAGGTTTCTAAAATCATAGAAACCAAGAGAGGAACCCGGCTCAGAGGTGTGGCCTATCTTACCTTGGCCTTGTGGTCCACGAAGCAGTGTGTCCTCTCAGTGGCAGTCTTCTCGCAGCAGTGCTTCAGATTGCTTTTCTCAACCAGGGACTCAGAAGAACACACTGCACTCTGAAACAGGTCTGCCTGTACACACATAGAAGTACACCTTTTAGCCAGCAGAGGGTACTGTTGTATCTGTACAGAACATTAAAATAAAACCATAGAGATAGATATGGGATTAATTTATTAAAGGTCCAGCCGTTTTTATCTCAATATCAAATCATTTCTGGGTAACAATTAAGTACCTTACTGTGATTGTTTTCAATTAAAATGGTCAAAAAATAAAACAAAAATAGCTTCTTAGCAAAGTGCAATTTCTCAAGCAAGAATTTTGGTAGGATTGTCTGGGTGTGGTCTGAGTGGGGAGGGGAAAACTGAAAACGATCTGTTATTTGTCCCGATTTGTGTTTTTAAATCTCTGATGAAGGATTTTGAGGCTGATTCCCTGACCTGTCAATGTTTTTAATTTGCTGTTTTTGATATTGTTATACTCTTGTGAATTCATGAATGGTTTTTACTAGATTACTTGTAGTTTTTCATGTTGTCTGTCTGTAATTTTTTGTAATGACTTGGTGCTGCCTATCTTGGCCAGGACGCTCTTGAAAAAGAGATTTTAAATCTCAATGAGCCCTTCCTGGTTAAATAAAGGTTAAACAAAATAAAAAATAAAAAAATAAAAAATTGGCAGAGACGTTTGGAACTCTCTTTCTTATTGGTCTATTAACTAATTTACTGCCTGGTGATGTCACTAGGCAGGCCAAAACTCCATCCCACCAAAACAGGATGAAATTTCAGGCGGTCTTTTCAAACAGCTCTTAAACTAAAAGGGCATTATCATAATGTTCACAATTTCACAGTATTATTCCAACCTCATGGTGTGGAAATATATATAAAACACAGGAAAATCATGTTTTTTGACTGCACTGGGCCTTTAAACCAGGGTTTCCCAACCCGCTCCTCTGCCCCCACAGGTGTTTTACATTTTAGTTTTAACCCTAAAATTGGCACACCTGATTTAATTTACTAATGCTCTCAGCTGAAAGGATATTTCGTTTGGTGACTTTGGGTCTTTTGAGCATCATGCTATACTGTTTAAATGTCAGCCACCAGTGCTGGTCATAACCCTGTATAGGCAACCAAAGCACTGCCCCACTTTCTTTACTGATTTATCTCTACTATTGTCTATTGTCCTTGAGAACTATGATAAAATCATTGTGTTGGGCGACTTTAATATTCATGTTGACAAAGAGACTGACTTGGAGGCCATTGAATTTATGAATCTTTTGAGCTCTATGGACTTTATCCAACATGTTACTGTGCTCACCAATAACCACAGCCACACTCTGGACCTGGTTATTACAAGGCTTTCTATTGACATATCCTCTATTGTTGATGTTGCTTTATCTGATCACCACTGTGTATTTTTTACTACCTCGTTGCCCATAGCAACACAGGGTAATACTGAACGCATTATTAAGAAACTGTCACATTTTTTCTAACTTGATCACTATTTAAATCAGAATAATTCGAGAGTGCTCTTCTCGACCATTGATGGCCTGAGAATTCCTACCCTCTCAAACCTATGTGAACTTTCCTCCACATCTAAATGTGATGAGTTTGCGGCATATTTCAGAGATAAGATAACCAACATTAGGCTGGGTATCAGTCAAGCAAGTCCTGATGACACAGCCATGCTCAGGAAAGTGATCTCACGACTTAAGGCTTCCCAGGAGATTGCTCGATTTTATACACCTGTCAGCAACGGGTGTGGCTGAAATAGCTGAATCCACTAATTTCAAGGGGTGTCCACATACTTTTGTATATATAGTGTATGTTACCCCTTGGCAGCGTTATCAGAAAGCACAGCATTGATTTTCACGGCTACGCAGGCGATACACAACTTTACATTTCTGTGTCACCAGAGGAGTTTAGCTCCACTGATAAATTATTAAACTGTATTAGTGATTTAAATACTTGGATGGCTAATAACCTCCTCCAGCTAAATCAAGACAAGACTGAGGTACTTATTGGAGCCAAAGCCCAGAGAGAGAATCTGGCCGCACATTTTAATTCACGGGCAATAATGATAAAACACCAGGTAAAAAAACCAATGTGTTATTTTATATTCTGAACTCAATTTCGAATCACACATCAGGAATGTGACCAAAATAGCTTTTTACCACCTGAGGAACATTGCCAAGGTGCGGCCGTTTCTCTCTCAGGCTGATACAGAGAGACTCATCCATGCTTTCATTACAAGCAGGCTTGACTACTGTAATGCTCTCCTGTCTGGTCTACCTAAGAAAGCCATTGGTCAACTGCAAAACATACAGAATGCTGCAGCACGGGTACTGACCGAGACCACACGGAAAGCACACATTACACTGGTTTTAAGGTCTTTGCACTGGGCTGCCTGTGAGTTTTAGAATTCATTTTAAGATTCTTCTATTGGTTTTTTAAATCAATCCACGATTGTGCACCACAATACATGTCAGACATGCTTTTAAGTTATGTACCCAGTAGGTCCCTCAGGTCCTCTGGCACTGGCCTTTTATCTATCCCAAAGCCTAGGACCAAGAGACATGGAGAGGCAGCCTTTAGTTACTATGCCCCAAACCTCTGGAATAGCCTGCAAGAGACCCTGAGGGGGGCCAAAACTGTGGACATATTTAAAAGAGATCTTAAAACACATATTTTTAGCTTTGCTTTTCCTCAGGGTGCTTTTTAGTCATTCAATTTTTGTTCTTCTTTTGTTTTTTATCTAATGTTTGTTGTGTAGTAAATATTTCAGCTTTTAATTTAATTTAATTAGTTTTTTTCCTGTGAAGAGCATTGCGTTGCATTCCATGTCTGAAATGTGTTGTATAAATAAAGCTTGATTTGAACTAATCATCAAGCCTTTGACTAATTGAATCAGGTGTGCCAATTAAGGGTTAAAACAAAAATGTTAAACATCTGAACCCTGACTAAAAATATCAGTCACTAATGCCCAATTACATACCAACCCTCCCCTCCCCTCCCTACCTCCTACCGATGGACCCTCCCCCTGGCCAGGCTGGCCCCTCCCCTCCCTACCCCCTATACCTGTCCCCTACGTCTCTGGCTGGGCTGGGCACATCAATGTGATTGGCATGTGTCAGTTAGAGACGAGGAGGTGTGGTAGGTGTCTCTCACCACGTCTCTGTTGCAGTCTTCTAGGGGTTCGTCTGAGCAGCATTGGATGCCCATGGCGAAGGCTTCCGCGACCAGGGGCACCACGTCATCCAACAAACTATCTGGAAGGTTCTGAGCCAGCCCTACCAGAGCCCTACACACACACACACACACACACTCAACCTATGTCACAACTCTCCTTCCCTGACAATAGATAACAGTAAAACTCCAGCCAACATGTTTTAAAAAGGTCAAAGGTGAAACCAAATATCCCAGACAGACAGGCAAACACACAAGCATGCATGCACATACACACAAACATACACACACAGTAAGATTACGACACTTCACCAAAATATTTACACTGCGCTGGGGTTAGAATCCAGTCCATTTTAAAATCAGCCATTGCAGAGAAATTCCAGATAAGCAAAACAGGACAAATCCAATCCATGTAAAAGTATTAAGTGGTTAAAGAATCCAAGGTCCAGGCACTCAGGTGAGTTTGAAAACAAAGTGAACCATATAAAGGCATTGATGAAACAAAAGCTTTTTACATCTTTATACTCACAAAGCTTTACTCACAAAGCTTTACTCACAAAGCTTTACTCACAAAGCGTTACTCACAAAGTCTTAACTCACAAGCTCTTTACTCACACCCTTTAACTCACAAGCTGTATTCACCTCATTGGTTGCGAAAGTATTCATCCCCTTGGCATTTTTCCTATTTTGTTGCCTTACAACCTGGAATTAAAGTGGATTTTTTTGGGGGTTTGTATCATTTCATTTACACAACATGCCTACCACTTTGAAGATGCAAATATTTTTTATTGTGAAACAAACAAGAAATAAGATTTAAAAAACTGCAATGGCTTTTTTCTGTCCACTCTTCCGTAAAGCCCAGCTCTGTGGAGTGTACGGCTTAAAGTGGTCCTATAGACAGATAAAAGCTTTGCAGCTCCTTCAGGGTTATCTTTGGTCTCTTTGTTGCCTCTCTGATTAATGCCCTTGTTGCCTGGTCCGTGAGTTTTAGTAGGCAGCCCTCTCTTGGCAGGTTTGTTGTGGTGCCATGTTCTTTCCATTTTTAAAATAATGGATTTAATGGTGCTCCGTGGGATGTTCAAAGTTTCTGATATTTTTTTATAACCCAACCCTGATCTGTACTTCTCCACAACTTTGTCCCTGACCTGTTTGGAGAGCTCCTTGGTCTTCATGGTGCTGCTTGCTTGGTGGTGTTGCAGACTCTGGGGCCTTTCAGAACAGGTGTATATATACTGAGATCGTGTGACACTTAGATTGCACACAGGTGGACTTTATTTAACTAATTATGTGACTTCTGAAGGTAATTGGTTGCATTAGATCTTATTTACGGGCTTCATAGCAAAGGGGGTGAATAAATATGCACGCACCATTTTTCCGATATTTATTTTTTTGAATTGTTTGAAACAAGTAATTTTTTTCATTTCACTTCACCAATTTGGACTATTTTGTGTATGTCCATTACATGAAATCCAAATAAAAATCAATTTAAATGACAGGTTCTAATGCAACAAAATAGGAAAAACGCCAAGAGGGATGAATACTTTTGCAAGGCACTGTAGCTTTAGTCACATAGCTTTAGTCACATAGCTTTAGTCACATAGCTTTAGTCACATAGCTTTAGTCACATAGCTTTTCTCACATAGCTTTAGTCACATAGCTTTAGTCACATATCTTTACTCACATAGCTTTAGTCACATAGCTTTAGTCACATATCTTTACTCACATAGCTTTAGTCACATAGCTTTACTCACATAGCTTTGAATCCATCTTTCTTGGCCTCTGTGAAGATGGTACAGATCTGATTCTGAGACCGGGCTGACACACTCAGCAGCACAAACAGACAACAGACAGCCAACCACTGCATGATGAAAGGACAGCCGCACGGACGGAGGGAGGGATGGAGCGAAGAGGGATGGATGGAGGAGGGGATCTAGCAATTGAGCCCAAGAGCAGAGAGATGCAGGGATTCTTTATACTTTTGTGGAATTGGTCAGCTGTCAATCATTAACTAACCTCTCTCTCTCTCTTATTTCTCTCTTTCATTTGGGTCTGTCTTTTACAACCGCTCTGTGGTCTGTCAGTACACACTGCTGTTCAGATTAAATGTTTTCTAGTTAGTTCTATGGAAATCCAACCACCCAAATTACACATTAGATAGATCCCTATCCTTGGAGATGAAAGTGCAGAATCTGTGTGACGTAATTTGGGGGGGTGAGTGGCCGGGGACACAAAGGTCAGGGGATACAAAGTCCAAACTGTCCCCGTGCAAACCTGCCATGCACCATCTGACCAGTAAATATTTCCACCATGAATCCTGAATCGATCTAAACCGATTCTCCCTGCATACAGCCTATAGTAGCCTACTGCGGAACGAGGTTCAATGGTTTCTTTAACCTTTATTTAGGCATGGGTGGAGTCCCATTAACACCAAGGTCTATTTTAAAAGGCAGCATATGAGCAAAAATATATATATATACTAAACACAATCATAAGAAACAACCACATTCCTCACTATTCATGTTAACAATACAGGAATAATAGTAAAAGGTGAACAGTATCCGTTTTTTAAATTGTTTTACCTGTTTTGTAATTCATTATCAGTAGGCCAATAGATGATATACATTGTTATATCTATTATGGATGCTTTGTCAATAAAACTCATGAATGCAACTGTTTATGTCAAATTGTTGTGTGTTCTACTTGTAGCCCTGGTCGTCCTGAAAATAAAACAGTAAAACACTTCATTGTGAGGCGAAATATGCGGGCTGGATGAATGCAGATAAATCAGATAAATGAGAAAGTTGATTGTTTTGCAGGGGTCTCGGGACTGATAGGGTTCATGTGACCAGGTATAGACCCTACACCCCTGCAATCTTACACAAACACCCACTCTTGGACTGTCAACAAACTTTTAGCCTACACAAATTACACACCCCGTGTCCATACACACGTGGGCACGCAACACCCACACGTTCGAATGTACAAAACACGCATTCACACACGTGCACACACAAACACACTGAATTACACCTACACTGACTGTACAAAACATTAGGGACACCTTCCTAATTATTGAGTTGCACCCCCTTTTGCACTCAGAACAGCCTCAATTTGTCGGGGCATGGACTCTACAAGGTGTCCAAAGAGTTCCACAGGGGATGCTGGCCGATGTTGATTCCAATGCTTCCCACAGTAGTGATGTAACTATTGATACCGGAGCTCTTGATGCCGTTTTCAACGCACTACTGATCCGACGCAACGTACCGATGCTCGTTTCAAAGTAACATTATATAACGTGATCAATGACGTCCGAAGCTTAGTTTGATTACGTGGGTTTTCAAACCGTGTGTTGCAAAATGCGTCATCCCCTGATGATTTCTTCTTCTTTAGGATTTAGTTGGCGGATTGCATTCAATTTTTAGGTGCACACACCGCCACCTACTGTACTGGTGTGTGAGGCCATTCACGGTCTACCTGCATTAAATTATTGATACGGTAATACAATACTGGGAAAAATGTATATGAAAATTGCTCTGTCAACTATTCGCACTCTCTAAAAAAAAAACACCACCCATTCCACTATTTAACCCTATCTAATCCTACCCCAGACCAACGGTTTAAGGGGACAGAACACTACCACTCAACACCCCTTGCAACTGTTCACAGTTATCACATCTAGGAACCTCCCTCCTACACACACTCCCTCCTCATCACTGATCGACTCCCGAGTTACTCCCACCAACTCAACAGTCCCCAACCTCTTCTCCACCCAACCTGACACCACATATGGATCAGACAAAATGCAAGGATCCGTTCTCTCCACAAATGTCACTCCCACTGGTCCAGAATCATCCTTTTCATCCTTGGGACAAGGCCCGCACTCGGCGGTCCTCACCGCAGGTACTATGCTACCGGTCAAAAGTTTTAGAACACCTACTCATTCAAGGGTTTTTCTTTATTTTGACTATTTTCTACATTGTAGAATAATAGTGAAGACATTAAAACTATGAAATAACACATATGGAATCTTGTAGTAACCAAAAAAGTGTTAAACAAATCAAAATATATTTTATATTTGAGATTCTTCAAATAGCCACCCTTTGCCTTGATTACATCGTTGCACACACTTTGCATATACAGAAGATAGCCCTATTTGGTAAAAGACCAAGTCCATATTATGGCAAGAACAGCTCAAATAAGCAAAGCGAAACGACAGTCCATCATTACTTTAAGACATGAAGGTCAGTCAATACGGAACATTTCAAGAACTGAACATTTCTTCAAGTGCAGTCGCAAAAACAATCAAGAGCTATGATGAAACTGGCTCTCATGAGGACCGCCACAGGAATGGAAGACCCAAAGTTATCTCTGCTGCAGGGGGATAAGTTCATTAGAGTTACCAGCCTCAGAAATTGCAGCCCAAATAATTGCTTCACAGAGTTGAAGTAACAGACACATCTCAACATCAACTGTTCAGAGGAGACTGTGTGAATCAGGCCTTCATGGTCGAATTGTTGCAAAGAAAACACTACTAAAGGACACCAATAAGAAGAAGAGACTTGCTTGGGCCAAGAAACACGAGAAATGGACATTAGACCGGTGGAAATTTGTTCTTTGGTCTGGAGTCCAAATTTGAGATTTTTGGTTCCAACCACCGTGTCTTTGTGAGACGCGGTGTGGGTGAACGGATGATCTCTGCATGTGTATTTCTGACCGTAAAGCATGGAGGAGGAGGTGTTATGGTGTGGGGGTGCTTTGCTGGTGACACTGTCTGTGATTTATTTAGAATTCAAGGCACACTTAACCAGCATGGCTACCACAGCATTCTGCAGTGATACGCCATCCTATCTGGTTTGGGCTTAGTGGGACTATCATTTGTTTTTCAACAGGACAATGACCCAACACACCTCCAGGCTGTGTAAGGGCTATTTTACCAAGAAGGAGAGTGATGGAGTGCTGCATCAGATGACCTGGCCTCCACAATCCCCCGACCTCAACCAAATTGAGATGGTTTGGGATGAGTCGGACCAAAGGAAAAGCAGTCAACAACTGCTCAGCATATGTGGGAACTCCTTCAAGACTGTTGGAAAAGCATTCCAGGTGACTGTAAGTCGCTTTGGATAAAAGCATCTGCTAAATGGCATATTATATTATTATATTATTAAAGCTGGTTGAGAGAGTGTGCAACGCTGTCATCAAGGCAAAGGGTGGCTTGTTGAAGAATCTCAAATATAAAATATATGTTGATTTGTTTAACACTTTTTTGGTTACTACATGATTCCATATGTGTTATTTCATAGTGTTGATGTCTTCACTATTATTCTACAATGTAGAAAATAGTAAAAAATAAAGAAAAACCTTGAATGAGTAGGTGTTCTAAAACTTTTGGCCGGTAGTGTACATCCACACTCTCGTCAGGTTCCACCTCTGAGCTACTAGAGCACATATCCCTATTTTTGCACTTGGCGCCAGCTTTCCTCACGACACCACACCGCTTCCCTCTACACTCAGCTCCTTCTCGGCGGTCATCACCGCACCTGCTACCACAATGAATTCACCCTCACTCTCTTCACGTTCACTTTCCTCCTCTAGCACTTACAAAAGTTATGTGCGATCCTCTATTCCATATTCCCTCAAAACATAGTCATTTTTTCCTTATCCGCCATCTTCTCCTTCAACAGATCTTCACATTATTGTTTAAACAATTCGTTTAATTGTAGTGCTGAGCAATTAACCGACATTTCGGTGTTTTTTTGGGGGGTTTTTAAACAACTAAATGACCAACGTTGGTTCATTTATTTTAGGTCCATGTTAGCTTTTTTTTTTTTATTTGAGCTCAATGTGCACATCGCACAGTTTGTCAGAGACAAATCAGATCCAGCCTGAACTGTGCGATGTTGTAGGGAGTTGTAGTTTCTAACAGGCCAATGTTCTACATCATTTAGCGCATAAAACGTGTTAATTAACTACGATGACCATAATCCATTGCGCATCTACTTGGTCTGTGTTTCTTTTACGCCTGATATGGAGAGAGAGAAGAATGCGCGATCTTGAGGTGATATTAACCAGGTTTCCATCTAACCGAATTATACGAGAAAAGTACGTCGGATGAAAAATGTAATGACAGGCCTGATGGAAACAGAAAATGTTTCTGTACTTTCCAAATGTCTACAAAACTAAATACGCTAGACAAGGTGGGATCTTTTTTGTGTGGGTAAAATGAATTATATGAGAAATGTCGGTGGAACCATCATATCGATTTGGGAGTCACGCGATGACGTGTTGTGTGGTCCTCCCACTACGAATCGTCAGGAAGCAAGCAGTTTATTAGGCTACAGATGAAATAAAGGATGATGAACTTCACAGGGTGTTGAAAGTGCAAGGTGATGAGCTTGATGCTCCTTTCTAATAAATATCGAGGGTCATTTGTGATGCTTGGCTGCCGTTTGACAAAAATAATCTGTCTCTTTTGACCATAATAATCTCATCATTTTTCATACTTGAGTAAAAATTAAGATACCTTGATAGAAAATGACTCAAGTAAAAGTGAAAGTCACCCAGTAAAATACTACTTGAGTAAAAGTCTAAAAGTATTTGGTTTTAAATATACTTAAGTATCAAAAGTAAATATAATTGCTAAAATATACTTAAGTAGTAAAAGTATAAATCATTTAAAGCAAACCAGAGGGCATCATTTTCTTGTTATTTTTTTGTACAAAATTTACGGATAGCCAACACTCAGACATGTACAAATTAAGTATGTGTTTAGTGAGTCCGCCAGATCAGAGGCAGTAGGGATGACCAGGGATGTTCTCTTGATAAGTGTGTGAATCAGACAATTTTCCTGTCCTGCTAAGCATTCAA